GGCTTCTCTATATCCCCCTCGAACTTCGTTCGGTGGGATAATGAGCGTTTATACAGGTATGTTCTCCACTTTTGTTGAACAGATACAAACCAAGAGTAAAACCATGTCCCTCTCGGCTCATTTTGTCAAAACCTTCAGGCAATTGGCAAAAACGTCGTCATAAATGGACTGTATTCTCATTCGCTTTTAATTTCACGGGTAATTGCATCATTTAAAAAGCTGCTTCTCTATTGGTTATATGTAAATTGTATGATTCATAAATCAATTGTAGCATGTGTAGTGGACTTTCCATGAAGAATCATATGACCATGTATGGTGTCTCTAATTAAAATATTGACATAAACAAAGTACTGCATGTGTATCCCTCAACATTTACGAGCATCAGTCTACTAACAAGGAAATCTGATGTTTAAAAATGGATTTCAAATGGTGGAAGGACCCAGGGGTTGCGAATATTTGACCAGATTTATTGCTCCAAGGGTAGGGAAATTGACACATTTATTTGGCCCCAGGGTAAGGAATTCGACAGGCCAAAATTGTTTTTGTCAAATTCCCTACCCTGGGTGGCCGCGTGGGGGGTCTCAAGCAAACTTTTGAATGGTGCATTACTTGAAAGAAAACATATTGTTTTAGTACAAATCACTGTATTTATGCCCAGAAAGTATTCATGATTAAAGGTACAACATGTACAAAGATGTTATGAGTATCAGAATGTTAAGCAGAGGGGCCATTCAACGATCATGGACCAGTGTCAAAATATATTTAAGTTTGGATATTTAATCAAGACTAACATATATTTTCATTATCTACAAAGAAACCCCCTGGATGAACATTATTTCAGCTGATATTCCTCTAGAAACGTGGTGGATCTTAAAAATCTATAAGTGGGACTCCCTTTATAGAAACTTTGAACTGAATTTACACTTCTTACGCTGAAATTGATAGTTTATACATACATTTTATGTCAAAGAAGGTGTTCAGCCAAATATTCACCTGATAGCTCAGAAAAAATAAAACATTTCAAATTTTCTCTCTACAGTCCTTGTTGCCCCTTTAAATATATGACTGTCTAAAATCACTTGCCATACTGCCATTCTTTAGCGCCCCAACTGACACAAAATTGAAATGGTTACTGGGAGATGAGGCATACATCTTTGGGGGCCTTCGACTCTTTAGTAAAAAGCTTTCTAAATAAGATTTTAAGTAAATATTGGTTATTTAAAACATCTTAGATGCTCTAACAGCGCTGGCTACTGATATGCTTCATCAGCAGTCTCACTCCTCCTGCTTTCGGGGATTAAACTGAAGCAGGTATGGCGAGGAGTTACCCCAAGCAGAGTTGATCAGGCTCCACCAGCATTTGATACAATGTAGCCACGTAAGATGGAAGGTTAATGGGGCGAAAACCACATTGTATGGGTTTCAACAGATGTTATCCGGATGGTATCATTAGCAACACTGTGTCCATATACCTCTCTACTATCACTTAAGTTTACAGCATGGAACATTCAGGCACTATGGGGTTTAATCCGGGCGTAAATTTTCCTCCGTCTAACATGGATCCTAAAAGTATCCATTGCGTGCTGCAATCTAGTAGAAATCTTTCATGCAGATACCACAGGCGTACCACGCACCTCAGAAATAAATTTCCTTCGCGTGCAGAGCCTGCCGGCACTTATCTGCACCAAACATCCCTAGTGTAAGTTAACATTTCTTCCCAAACTTTCTTGGTAGTCATCTGGTACTTTCTCCAGCAGTCCACTAGTCTATTCCTAGAAGTCATCCAGTCTCACCTGGAGGTATCCATCAAATGGAAGTTATGGTTATTTAAAACATCTTAGATTAACATACCTATGTTTTAATTCTTTTTAAGACTCATTTTAGTTTGAAAAAATGTTCTGTTTTTAACCAACATGGCATTTTGGATATTTTCGATTAGATGCACCTTAATGTAAGAGTGCCACTGTTAAAAAAGTGTATATCTAAATAAATAAATAAAATAAAATAAATACTGCACATGGACCTTTTGAATTGATCTTGAGACAAAATTAAAATACTTGAATAATTCCAGCCAAATTCCCTATACAGAGTAAAAATATATGCAGTACATTACTCATCCAGCTGACAGTTTGAGAAAAAAACTAGAGGTTTAAGATTGCAAGCAATCTTATGGAGGCCCCATAGGCTTTTTTGAATATTTAAAGGTCAGCCAAAGGTCAAATCTTAAATACAAGGTCATATATGAACTCCAGGCATCTTGTAGATGATTTTAAAAAAAGGTTTGGTCAATTTGAAGCAATGTGAAATTTGACCTTAAAAAATTTCAACATTAGACCTTTTTCAGTTTTTGAGGTCCAATATCTCAAAACTGGTGCAGAATTTTAATAGATAATCAATTGTTAATATGTGTAAAACCTTTAGAGGAATATATATCCTGACTTTAATTCAAAAATATTGATTTGTAGTCACAAACTTTGAGAAACATAGAAAACACAGTTTGTGATCTTGTTTGATGACCTTTGACCTTGAAAATTTTACTTTTTTAGACCTCAGTATATCTTTTCTGATTGAATAAACCTAAATTTGAATCCAGAAAATCAATTTGAAAAATCAACTTTGACCTTTCGAAGGTCACTGAAGGTCAACTAAAGGTCATAGGTCAAAACTAAGGTCAGATCTGAGTTCCTGAGATCTTGTAGATGCTTTTAAAAAAAAAGTTTGGTCAATTTAGAGCAAGTTGAAATTTGACCTTGAAAAATTTCGAAATTTGACCTTTTTTTTAGTTTTTGAGTTCTAATATCTCAAAACTGGAGCAAAATTTTAATAAATAGTCAATTGCTAATATGTGTAGAACCTTTAGAGGAATATATATGTTGACTTTCAGTAAAAAAATTGATTTGTAGTCTCCAATTTTGAGAAACTTAGAAAACACAGTTTGTGATTTCGTTTGATGACCTTGACCTTTGAACTTGCAAATTTTGCTTTTTTAGACCTCAGAAGGTCTTTTGTGAATAAATATACCTAAATTTGAATCCAGAAAATCGATTTGAAAAATCAACTTTTTGACCTTTCGGAGGTCACTGAAGGTCAACCAAAGGTCAAAGGTCAAAAGTAAGGTCAGATTTGGAATTCTGAGAACTTGTAGATGAGTTTTTAAAAAAAATTGGTCAATTTGAAGCAAGTTGAAAAAAGACCTTTTTTACCTTTTTTTGACCTTCAATATCTCAAAATCTAGGCAAAAATTCTTTAGACGGCAAAAGGCTAAGACTAATAGAATACTAATATCTATCTGTATGGAAAAATTCAGCCAAACATATTGAAGTGCAGTGTCAGGATTTGAGAAACTTGAAAAAAACTTAGATTTGACCTAGATTTTGACCTTTGACCTTGACCTAGATATGAACTAATTTCTTGACAAGTCCAGCCCAGGTCCCTAATAGGACTATATATGAGATAAGTCAAAGCTAGCTGGAAGTTGGAGAAAAAATGCTAAAAAGAATAATAAATAAATAAATAAATAAATAAATAAACATAGGGAATCAAACAAGTTAATTTCAGGCTCCTTCTCCAACAGCAAAAGGCTAAAACCTACTGAACACTTTTAGCTTAAGAGATTAGAAGCCCCATGGTGTAGTTATAAAAAGGCCTATTTGACCTTAATTTATGGTATAGATAGCTTGATATTTTATGGTTATAATGAAAAAGAATACAATAGAATCTAATTTTTTCTCTTGAGTAACAGTTACTACAAAAAATCCAGCAGGTTATCTCATAGGCCTCCTAATTACTTTTTTTGTTACTCAAAACATTTTTGTAGTGAATTCCTTATCATACGAGGGTTGATCATAAAGTTCTCATAATATCTCTCTAATTTCAATATTTTTCAATATATTATAATGAAATTTTCACAGAATGTGCAGCATAGAATGGCTTATCAAATCAGCTAAAATATTTAGTTTAACAGAAATATTGAATAAGAAATGGTTACCATAGTAACTTGAAATCAAGGCACCCGGGGCAAATAAAAGTAATTGAGAGAATGGCTCTAATAAACCATTTTAACACACATAATAAACTCTCATAAATTACCAAATACGTTAAAATGTTAACTTGAATATGTTGTTAAGTGCTTTTACATTTAAAAAATTGATCATGTGGATTGTGTGATGTCATAGAGGATGCTTTCATGCTTCATTAGGTGTGATACCAGAGTCTGAGACTCAAAGCTAATGATCAGAAATGTCTTAGTAAGAGAATGCAATAGATGCACAGATATTCAGAAAAATAAAATTCATATTGATAAAATGTTATGTTAAGTTTGTAAGATCCTTTGGTCAGACTAAACATGATCTAAAACAAATATATTGCTAAGGTATCAACAAAATTACACCATGTGTGTGGTCTGTACATGTTAAAAATGAACTAAAGGGGCAAAATCAATTTTCCTAGGGATATTTGAAAAAACGGTCATGGAGTCTAACAGTCACTTCTACTGAAGCATAACAATCATCCATTATGAGATCACACAATTCACATGACCATAATAATAGTTCACAACAGTCAAGAGCACATGTAATTTGACAATTTAATGTGTATGATAGCTTATTTGACAACTTATTTATATGCATTTAAACATGGGTAATAGGAGCTATCTAGCTAGTTTTTTATTTGCCCCGCATGCCTTGATCGCAAGTTACTATGGCAACCATTTCTTATTTAATGTTTCTGTTATCCTAAATATTTTTTGCTGGATTAATAAAACATTTCATGCTGCACATTCTGTGAAAATTGCATAGGAAAAAATTGAAAAATAAAGAAATGAGAGAGATATTATGAGAACTTTATGATCAACCCTCATATAAGTGCTTCAAGTAAGTAATTCAAACATAACATGCACAGTGTTGGCCAATAACTATGGACTCTATCCACATATAATCAAAGAATGCGAAATGGTGAACATTTGAAAAAATATAGATATAGCAAACAAATTAATTTGGGAAATGGCTGATGATGATACAAAGCAGATAGATCAGGACATTAAAAAAACAATTGATAGGACATATAAACACCAGCTGCAGTTACTCTTTCATAAAGGTGCCAATGTCAATGCTAGGGACAGTAATGGCTGGACTGAATTGATGCATGCTTGTAATTCTGGCTCTCTGGAATATGCACAGTGGCTAACAGAGCATGGTGCAGATGTCAATGCTACGGACAGTGATGGTTGTACTGCATTGATGTTGGCTTGTAAGTCTGGCTCTCTAGAATGTACACAGTGGTTAACAGAGCATGGTGCAGATGTCAATGCTAGGAACAATGCTGATTGGACTGCATTGATGTATGCTTGTAGATCTGGCCCTCTGGAATGTACACAGTGGTTAGCAGAGCATGGTGCAGATGTCAATGCTAGGAACAATGATGGTATGACTGCATTGATGTTGGCTTGTAAGATTGGCTCTCTTGAATGTACACAGTGGTTAACAGATTATGGTGCTGATGTCAATGCCAAGGACTATGAGGGTTTGACTGTATTGATGAATGCTTGTAAGTCTGGCTCTCTGGAATGTACACAGTGGCTAACAGAGCATGGTGCAGATGCCAATGCTAGGAGCAATGGTGGTGTGACTGCATTGATGTTGGCTTGTAAGTCTGGCTCTCTGGAATGTACACAGTGGTTAACAGAGCATGGTGCAGATGTCAAGGCTAGGAGCAATGGTGAAAAGACTGCATTGATGCTGGCTTGTGAGTTTGGCTCTCTAGTATGTACACAGTGGTTAACAAAGCATGGTGCAGATGTCAATGCTAGGGACAGTGATGGTTGGACTGGATTGATGTATGCTTGTAAGTTTGGCTCTCTAGAATGTATAAAGGGGTTAAAAAAGCATGGTGCAGATATCAATGCTAGGAACAATACTGGTTGGACTGCATTGATGTTTGCTTGTAAGTCTGGCTCCCTAGAATGTACACAGTGGTTAACAGAGCATGGCGCAGATGTCAATGCTGGGAACAAGTATGGTAGGACTGCATTGATGCTTGCTTGTAGTTCTGGCTCTCAGGGATGTGCACAGTGGTTAACAGAGCATGGTGCAGATGTCAATGCTAGGAACAATGCTGATTGGACTGCATTGATGTTGGCTTGTAAGTCTGGCTCTCTGGAATGTACACAGTGGTTAACAGATAATTGTGCAGATGCCAATGCTAAGAACAATGATGGTTGGACTGCATTGATGCATGCTTGTAGTTCTGGCTCTCTGGAATGTACACAGTGGTTGACAGAGCAGGGTGCTGATGTCAATGCTAGGAACAAGGCTGGTTGGACAGCATTGATGCTGGCTTGTGAGTTTGGCTCTCTGGAATGTACACAGTGGTTAATAAAGCAAGGTGCAGATGTCAATGCTGAGAACAATGATGGTTGGACTGCATTGATCCATGCTTGTAGTTCTGGCTCTCTGGAATGTACACAGTGGTTAACAGAGCTGGGTGCAAATGTCAATGCTAGTGGCAGGGTTGGTTGGACCGCATTGATGTTGGCTTGTAAGTCTGGCTCCATGGAATGTACACAGTGGTTAACAGAGCATGGTGCAGATGTCAATGCTGTGAACAAGCATGGTAGGACTGCATTGATGCTGGCTTGTAGTTCTGGCTCTCAGGGATGTGCACAGTGGTTAACAGAGCATGGTGCAGATGTCAATGCTGGGAACAAGTACGGTAGGACTGCATTGATGTGGGCTTGTAGTTCTGGCTCTCGGGGATGTGCACAGTGGTTAACAGAGCATGGTGCAGATGTCAATGCTAGGGACAATTCTGGTTGGACTGGATTGATGTTGGCATGTAAGTCTGGCTCTCTAGAATGTACACAGTGGTTAACAGAGCATGGTGTAGATGTCAATGCTAGGGACAGTGATGGTTGTACTGCATTGATGTATGCTTGTAGTTCTGGTTCTCTCGGATGTGCACAGTGGTTAACGGAGCATGGTGCAGATGTCAATGCTGGGGACAGTGATGGTTGGACTGCATTGATGTCGGCTTGTAAGTTTGGCTCTCTGGAATGTACACAGTGGCTAACAGAGCATGGTGCGGATGTCAATGCTAGGAACAATGATGGTTTGACTGCATTGATGCAGGCTTGTGAGTCTGGCTCTCTTGAATGTACACAGTGGTTGACAGAGCAGGGTGCTGATGTCAATGCGAGGAACAAGGCTGGTTGGACTGCATTGATGTCGGCTTGTAGATCTAGCACACTGGAATGTACACAGTGGTTAACAGAGCATGGTGCTGATGTCAATGCTAGGGACAGTACTGGTGAGACTGTATTAATGCATGCTTGTAAGTCTGGCTCTCTAGAATGTACACAGTGGCTAACAGAGCATGGTGCAGATGTCAATGTTAAGAACAATGATGGTTGGACTGCATTGATGCATGCTTGTAACTCTGGCTCTCTAGAACATGCACAGTGGCTAACAGAGCATGGCGCTGATGTCAATGCTAGGGACAATGATGGTGAGACTGTATTGATGCATGCTTGTAACTCTGGCTCTCTTGAATGTACACAGTGGTTATCAGAGCATGGTGCAGATGTCAATGCCAAACACAAAGATGGCAAAACTGAACTAATGATTGCTATTGAGAAAAGGTCTCTTGAATGGATAAAGATGTTCACAGACCATGGTGCAGATGTCAATACCATAAGCACTGATTGTAAAACTGCATTGATGCATGCTTGTGAGACTGGCTGTCTTGAATATACACAGTGGTTAACAGAGCATGGTGCTGATGTCAACGCCGTAGACAATAATGGTCGGACTGCATTGATGTCTGCTTGTAATTCTCACTCTCTAGAATGTGCACAGTGGTTAGTAGACAATGGTGCTGACGTTAATTCCAGGGATAAAAAGAACCAAACTGAACTGATGATGAGCATTCAGGACAGATCCATTGAATGGGTCAGAATATTTACAGATGCCTGTGCAGATGTCAATGCAACTGATGATTTTGGCAACACGGCAGTCTCTTACATAACTAAGTCCAATCCACAACATAAAGAACTATATTCTATCCTTACCATACTGGGTGCTAAAGATGAGGATTACAAACATTTCAAGTCATTAAATAGCAATGCAACTGATGATAAACAGCATGAAGCTACTATAAAACTTGATGCCATAAAAGCTAAATGGAAGCTTAATTTATCATACCAGGCGAGGCAGTCTCTTTATCAGATTTGTTTGTCAAACAACCAGCAATACACATACACAATGAAAAGATTAATTAAAGATGAGATCTTGCCTTCTAAGCTTTCAAACTTTATCATGTTCAAGGAACAAGATGATATCAGTGAGATTACAGCTATCTTTGAAACTCTCGACAAAAGTCAAAAAATAAAAAATACCCAAATATATGAGGAAAAAACATTAACAGTAAAAATGACAAATAATGCTGATAATGAAACATTACAAGAATGCACTAGATTGATTGAAGACTCTTGTGCAGATTTCAATACCAGGAGCTATGCTGCTTGGACTTTACTGATGCATGCAAGTAGCTCTGGTTCAATGGCATATACTCGGCTGTTAACAAACTATTGTGCAGAGGATTTTGCTGATAATGAAAATGGTCATGCTGCATTGATTCTTGCTTGCAAGTCTGGCTCACCTGAAAGTGTTGAATGGTTAACTAACCATGGTGCAGATATCAATGCCAGGACCAATGATGGTTTGACTGTTCTGATGCTTGCTACTGTGTATCGTTTTCAGAAATGTACTCAACTGTTAACAGCACATGGTGCAGATGTAAATACCAGGGACAGTGATGGTTGTACTGCATTAATGCATGCTTGTAGGTATGGCTCTCTGGAATGTACACAGTGGTTAACAGAGCATGGTGCAAATGTCAATGCTAGGGACAATAATGGTTGTACTGCATTGATGTATGCTTGTAGTTCTGGCTCTCTGGAATTTACACAGTGGCTAACAGAGCATGGTGCTGATGTAAATACCAGGGACAGTGATGGTTGGACTGCATTGATGTATGCTTGTAAGTCTGGCTTACTTGAAAGTGTTCAGTGTTTAACTGTCCATGGTGCAAATGTCAATGACAGAAACAAAGAAGGTTCTACTGCATTGATGTATTCTTATGAATCTGGCTCTCCTGAATGTGCTCAGTGGTTAGCAGGGCATGGTGCAATTATCGATATCAGTAGCAGGAATCAATGTACTGCTGTGATGCTGGCTTGTACATCTGGCTCTCTGAAATGTGATCATACTGCCCAATGGTTAAAAGACCATGGTGCAGACATCAATGCTGGTGATAATATTGGCTGGACTGCATTGATGCATGCTTGTAAGTCTGGCTCCCTTGAATGTACAAAGTGGTTAGCAGAGCATGGTGCAGATGTCAATGTTGGTGATAATATTGGTTGGACTGCATTGATGCATGCTTGTAGGTATGGCTCTCTGGAATGTACACAGTGGTTAACAGAGCATGGTGCAAATGTCAATGCTAGGGACAATAATGGTTGTACTGCATTGATGTATGCTTGTAGTTCTGGCTCTCTGGAATTTACACAGTGGCTAACAGAGCATGGTGCTGATGTAAATACCAGGGACAGTGATGGTTGGACTGCATTGATGTATGCTTGTAAGTCTGGCTTACTTGAAAGTGTTCAGTGTTTAACTGTCCATGGTGCAAATGTCAATGACAGAAACAAAGAAGGTTCTACTGCATTGATGTATTCTTATGAATCTGGCTCTCCTGAATGTGCTCAGTGGTTAGCAGGGCATGGTGCAATTATCGATATCAGTAGCAGGAATCAATGTACTGCTGTGATGCTGGCTTGTACATCTGGCTCTCTGAAATGTGATCATACTGCCCAATGGTTAAAAGACCATGGTGCAGACATCAATGCTGGTGATAATATTGGCTGGACTGCATTGATGCATGCTTGTAAGTCTGGCTCCCTTGAATGTACAAAGTGGTTAGCAGAGCATGGTGCAGATGTCAATGTTGGTGATAATATTGGTTGGACTGCATTGATGCATGCTTGTAAGTCTGGCTCTCTGGAATGTACACAGTGGTTAACAGAGCATGGTGCAGATGTCAATGCCAGGGACAGTGATGGTTGGACTGCATTGATGCATGCTTGTAAGTCTGGCTCTCTGGAATATACACAGTGGTTAACAGAGCATGGTGCAGATGTCAATGCCAGGGACAGTGATGGTTGGACTGGATTGATGCATGCTTTTCAGTCTAGCTCTCTAGAATGTAAACAGTGGTTAACAGAGCATGGTGGAGATGTCAATGCTAGGGACAATGATGGTTGGACTGCATTGATGCATGCTTTTCAGTCTAGCTCTCTAGAATGTACACAGTGGTTAACAGAGCATGGTGCAGATGTCAATGCCAGGGACAGTGATGGTTGGACTGGATTGATGCATGCTTTTCAGTCTAGCTCTCTAGAATGTAAACAGTGGTTAACAGAGCATGGTGCAGATGTCAATGCTAGGGACAATGATGGTTGGACTGCATTGATGCATGCTTTTCAGTCTAGCTCTCTGGAATGTACAAAGTGGTTAACAGAGCATGGTGCAGATGTCAATGCTAGGGACTATTATGGTAGGACTGCATTGATGTTAGCTTGTAGGTCTGCCTCTCTGGAATGTACACAGTGGTTAACAGAGCATGGTGCCGATGTCAATGCTAGGACCAATGATGGTTTAACTGTTCTGATGCTTGCTACTGCGTATCATTCTCAGAAATGTACTCAATTGTTAACAGCACATGGTGCTGATGTAAATGCCAGAGACAGTGATGGTAGGACTGCATTGATGCAAGCTTTTCAGTCTAGCTCTCTGGAATGTACAATGTGGTTAACAGAGCATGGTGCAGATGTCAATGCTAGGGACTATTATGGTAGGACTGCATTGATGTTGGCTTGTAAGTCTGGCTCTCTAGAATGTACAAAGTGGTTAACAGAGCATGGTGCAGATATCAATGCTAGGGACCATTATGGTAGGACTGCATTGATGTTGGCTTGTAAGTCTGGCTCTCTGGAATGTACACAGTGGTTAACAGAGCATGGTGCAGATGTCAATGCTAGGAACAGTGATGGTTGGACTGCATTGATGCATGCTTTTCAGTCTGACTCTCTGGAATGTGCAAAGTGGTTAACAGACCATGGTGCTGATGTCAATGCCAAGGACAATAATGGTTGGACTGCATTGATGCATGATTGTAAGTCTGGCTCTCTAGAATCTGCAAAGTGGTTAACAGAGCATGGTGCTGATGTCAATGCTAGGGACAATGCTGCTTGGACTGCATTGATGCTTGCTTGTGAGATTGGCTCTCTGGAATGTACACAGAGGTTAGGAGAGCATGGTGCAGATGCCAATGCTAGGGACAGTGATGGTTGGACTGCATTAATGTGGGCTTGTAAGTCTGGATCTCTAGAATGTACACAGTGGTTAGCAGAGCATGGTGCAGATGTCAATGCTAGGGACAATGGTGATGTGACTGCATTGATGTGGGCTTGTAAGTTTGGCTCTGTGGAATGTACACAGCGGTTAACAGAGCATGAAGCAGATGTCAATGCTAGGGACAGTGATGGTTGGACTGCATTGATGCATGCTTGTAAATTTGGCTCTCTTGGATGTACACAGTGGTTAACAGACCATGGTGCAGATATGAATGCTAAGGACATTTATGGTTGGACTGCATTGATGCATGCTTGTAAGTCTGGCTCTCTTGAATGTATTTGGTGGTTAACAGACCATGGTGCTGAAGTCAATGCTAGGAACAGTGATGGTTGGACTGCATTGATGCAGGCTTGTATATCTGGCTCCTTTGGATGCACACAGTTGTTAATAGAGCAGGGTGCAAATGTTGATTCCAGAATCAATGGTTGTTCTGCACTGATGCATGCTTGTAAATCTGGCTCTCTTGAATGTACTCAGTGGTTAACAGACCATGTTGCAGATATGAATGCTAGGGACAGTGATGGTTGGACTGCATTAATGCATGCTTGTAGTTCTGGCTCTCCTGAATGTACACAGTGGTTAACAGATCATGGTGCTGATGTCAATACTGGGGACAATGCTGCTTGTTCTTCATTGATGCATGCTTGTAAATCTGGCTCTCTTGAATGTACTCAATGGTTAACAGACCATGGTGCAGATATAAATGCTAAGGACAGTGATGGTTGGACTGCATTAATGCATGCTTGTAGTTCTGGCTCTCTTGAATGTACTCAGTGGTTAACAGATCATGGTGCAGATATGAATGCTAGGGACAGTGATGGTTGTACAGCATCAATGTTGGCTTGTAAGTCTGGCTCTCTGGAATGTACGCAGTGGTTAACAGAGCATGGTGCTGATATAAATGCTAGGGACAATGCTGCTTGGACTGCATTGATGCTTGCTTGTGAGGCTGGCTCTCTGGAATGTACACAGTGGTTAGGAGAGCATGGTGCAGATGTCAATGCTAGGGACAGTGAAGGTTGGACTACATTGATGTGGGCTTGTAAGTCTGGCTCTCTGGAATGTACACAGTGGTTAACAGAGCATGGTGCAGATGTCAATGCTGGGGACAGTACTGGTTTGACTGCATTGATGTATGCTTGTAGTTCTGGGTCTCTTGAATGTACACAGTGGTTAACAGACCATGGTGCAAATGTCAATGCTAGGAACATTGATGGTTGGACTGCATTGATGTTGGCTTGTAGATATGGCTTTCTGGAATGTACACAGTGGTTAACAGACCATGGTGCTGATGTCAATATCAAAGACAAAAGTGGTTGGACTGCATTGATGTATGCTTGTAGTTCTGTATCTCTTGAATGCACACAGTGGTTAATAGAACATGGTGTTGATGTCAATGCTAAAGACTACAATGGTTTGACTGCATTGATGTATGCTTGCAAACTCAGGTCTGTGGAATGTACAAAGTGGTTAACAGAGCATGGTGCAGATGTCAATGCAAAGAGCAATGATGGGTTTTCTGCATTGATGTATGCTTGCAAATTCAGGTCTGTGGAATGTACAAAGTGGTTAACAGAGCATGGTGCAGATGTCAATGCCAAGAGCAATGATGGGTTTTCTGCATTGATGTATGCTTGCAAATTCAGGTCTGTGGAATGTACAAAGTGGTTAACAGAGCATGGTGCAGATGTCAATGCCAAGAGCAATGATGGGTTATCTGCATTGATGTATGCTTGCAAATTCAGGTCTGTGGAATGTACAAAGTGGTTAACAGAGCATGATGCAGATGTCAATGCCAAGAGCAATGATGGGTTTTCTGCATTGATGTATGCTTGCAAATTCAGGTCTGTGGAATGTACAAAGTGGTTAACAGAGCATGGTGCAGATGTCAATGCCAAGAGCAATGATGGTTTTTCTGCATTGATGCATGCTCGTTATTCTGGGTGTCTGGAATGTACTCAGTGGTTGACAGAGCATGATGCAAGTATCAATGCTGGTAAAAAAAAATATCTGCAGACTTCATTGGTGGAAAAGGTTAGGAAAAGACCATTTAAGAAACTGGAACTACGACATGAGGATCTGCTTCAAAGGTAAGACATCTAATGACACTTCTTACATTCCATGTTCTGTCTTGAAATAATTGCATATTATCCTGAACACGTATTGCAAAATGCTTTAGAACGCTTTAAAAGACATGTAAATAATCTAACAATGGGTGATTGGTGTTTGATTATGACATCCTTGCTTTTCCACATGATAAATTTGATGCCATCACTGATGATTGTCAAAGCGCTCAATGTTGTATTTCTTTTTACATAATTTCTGAAATGGCAAAGTACAGGATCCTTAAAGTAGATACAATATTCAACATATCTTATTTTCTTATTGTTCTGTATATATCACTATTACATATATCCGTTCACAGTTAGATGTAACAATGAAATTATATGTGTCTTTAAGCATCTTTGACTCTGCTAACTTATGTTTCAAAATACAGAATTAATCAGATGTGGTGATGTGCATTTAAATCCAGGCCCTCATACCATGGCTGGTAATCTCACTATTTTATTCTCCAATAAAAATAGTATTATACTGAATGAGCCTGGTGTAAAAGTGGTTTTGAAAAATAGCAAATTTCTCTTTATGTAGGTAATTTGTGGTTTATTATTCTACACTGATTCTGAAAATATTGGTGTCTAGTTTTCCATCATTTTGGAAATATTCAGATTTATACCCCCCTAGTTTGAATTTGAGGGGGGTACTAGGAAAGAGGTAATCATCTACTTATCATGTCCTACAATAGTCATAAGTTTCATCAAAGTTAGTCAACTGGTTGATTTTTGAAGAAAATAAATATTAACCATTTGTCCTGATACTCACAGATATTATTCACATCATTATGTTTGACTATTATGGAACGTTTCATCAGTGTTGGTTCACTGGTTACTATGGTATGCAGATTTATACCCCCTTAGTATGATTTTAAGGGAGTACAAATAAAGCCATCTATAATTCTTAGAATATACAGCCATCTTGATATTTACAGGTAGTCATCTACTTATCATGTCTTACAACCATGACAATTTGCATATGTGTAACAATAGTTTGCTATGGTAACATAAATCATTTTTAAAAAGTACACATTAGAGAGGTACTATGAAAGCCATATATAATTCCTAGAATATCTAACCAATCATCTTGTTATTGACAGATAATTGTCTACTCACCATGTTCTTACAATATGACAAATTTCAAAAATGCGGGGCAACTGGTTGATATGAAATCTTTGTTAAAAAGTACACATTAGGGCGTACTATGAAAGTCATATATAATTCCTTAAATATCATAACAATCATTACGATATTTACAGACAATCTACTACTTATCATGCCCTACCATGATGACAAGTTTCATCAATGTGGGTCAAATGTGGGTAGAAATCTATTTGTTTAAAAAGTACACATTTCCTAAAATTTTAAGACACAACCTAAGACATTGAAAATTTTCATCAAAGTGGGAGGAATTAGCATGAAAACATTTTAAGAACCCTATTTTGAGTATATCTGATAATATTTAGTCAATAGATGCTTCATCTGGGCCATTTGATGCATTGGTGCATTTTATTTGCTTATGATACTAAAAACTATACAGAATGCGGCTGTCACATTATGCGTAGGGACATAACATTAATTTACTTTTTCCCTAGCCATCATGTTATAAAATTTGAACTAAATCTATTCACTGGTATTTGAGCTATCAAAAATTACATTTTTTTTTTACTAAAAATGGCCGCCATTTTGAAAATCTTTTCTCCAGCTTTGCTGTTTTGTCTCTAGGCATGAGCATATAAAATTTGAATCAAATCCATCTACTAGTGTTTGAGTTATCAAAGATTAAGTTTTTTGATGGCAGCCATATTGAAATTCAGCCCCATCTTGAAAATACAAATCTACTTTGTCCCTAGCCATAATCATATAAAAATTGAACCAAATCGGTTACTGGTATTTGAGTTTTCAAAGATTACGTTTTTTACGAAAAATGGCCACCATATTGATATTTGGCAGCCATTTTGAAAATCTCTTCTTCAGCATAACTCCTTTGTCCCAAGGCATCAGCATATAATATTTGAGCCAAATCTATTAACTAGTATTTGAGTTATCAAAGATTATATTTTTTACAAATAATGGTGGCCATTTTGAATTAAGCAGCCATATTGAAAATTCCTTCTCAAGCAGATGTTCTATCACCATGAGGCATAAGCCTATAAAATTTGAATCAAATCCACAAACCGGTATTTGAGTTATTGCCTTGACAAACGGACGGATGGACGGACTTAGGGATGGCTTTCCTATATCCCCCTCGAACTTTGTTCGGTGGGATAATAAAAAAATGGATATAATTAATTTTTTGCCGATTTTTGTAACAAAATTATTTTACATGCAGAACACCTGAAATTATTTGTAAAGCTAGCAAATGGTCCAAAAGTGAATTTCGAGAGACAAAAATGACGACCATCTTGAAAATAGACGAGCTTTTGATCCAGGAGTATTAATGTTGAACAAAAATAACTTAGAATGGGAATCCTATTGACAGAGGTTTTAAGGCAAATGGTCCAAAAGTGGATTTCATGAACCAGATGGACAAATCAATGTTAACTAAAATGGCTGAAAATAAACAAGAACACAAATGTGTACAAAATGTCCCCACCAATGGGTGATCCCGTCAAATGGTTATCCTGAAAATGAGTAGACAAGAGTTTACCAACACAATTTGAGGCCACCTTAAAATTTACCCAGAATGCCAAAAATTTAGTCAGTTCTAGATTTTTATACTAAGAACCACCCCTGAAAATTTGAAATTGACCCGTCACACAGTTAATCAGAAAACATGTAAACAAGACTTTACAGACAAGATTTCAGGATGGAAAATCCAAAATGGCTGCCTTGACATTTCGCCAGAATGTCAAAAAACTGATCTGTTTCTAGATTTTCATACTAAAAATAATCCCTGAAAATATGAAATTGATCTACCAAACGGTTCACCTGAAAACGGGTAGACAAGACTTTACAGACAAGATTTTAGGACAGAAAATCCAAAATGGCTGCCTTAACATTTACGCAGAATGCAAAAAAAACTAATCAGATGTAGATTTTCATACTAAGAATCATCCCTGAAAATTTGAAATTGATCTACCAAACGGTTCACCTAAAAACATGTAGACAAGACTTTACAGGCAAGATTTTAAGACAGAAAATCCAAAATGGCTGCCTTGACATTTATCCAGAATGCCAAAAAACTAATCAGATCTAGATTTTCATACTAAGAATCATCCCTGAAAATTTAAAATTGACCTACAGAACGGTTCACCTGGAAATGCATAGACAAGATTTTACAGACAAGATTTTAGGACCGAAAATCCAAAATGGCTGCCTTGACATTTTCCAAGAATGCCCAAAAACTAATCAGTTCTACATTTTCATACTAAGAATCATCCCTGAAAATTTGAAATTGATCTACCAAATGGTTCACCTGAAAACACGTAGACAAGACTTTACAGACAAGATTTTAGGACGGAAAATCCAAAATGGCTGCCTTGAAATTTATCCAGAAAGCCAAAAAAACTAATGAGATCTAGATTTTTATACTAAGAGTCATCCCTGAAAATTTGAAATTGATACACCAAACGGTTCTCCTGAAAAAGCGCAGACAAGATTTTAGGACCGAAAAATCCCAAATGGCCGACAATAAAAAAGTCCTTATGAGTTTTTGCTGATTCTTTTTACAAAATTACCACATATAACAATCTTTAACAATAACATAGGCTTTTACAACAAAGTACATCTAAAATTATTTATAAAGCTACTAAATAGTTTAAGTATGAAAACTCAAAAACACTTTCAATATGATACAACGTATTATCGCGCGCTAACTTTTCTTAAGACATTCAAAATGGCTGAAATGACTGAGCTAACAGGTCCAAAACCTAATCAGATGTAGAAAAAAGTGAGCTGAACAAGATGTTAAAGTTTTAAAAGCAAATGTGAAGCTGTTTTTCTTAAAGTTTGCAGACAAGGATTTTAGCATTTGACATCAAAATGGCCGACAGGAAGTAGGTTTCGAGTTATTTTTTTTTCATCCACATCTATATGCACTCATAAGTAATCCCTGAAAATTTGAAGGTGATATCTGTAGCGGTTTTGGAGAAAACTCCTGGACGTACGGACAGACGGACGGATGGACGGACGTGCCTAGGCCGACAATATGGCCCCACACTATGTGGTGGGGACATAAAAAACGGATGCAATTTTTTGATGATTTTTTGTAACAAAATTATTTCATGCAATTACTCTTAACAGTGACATGACTTTTTGCAATGCAGGACATCTGAAATTATTTGTAAAGATAGGAAAAGGGCCAAAAGTGAATTTTTCAAGACAAAAATCATTTTGAAAATAGGCGAGCTTTTGAACCAGGAGTCATACGGGAGTTTTTTGTATTGATGTTAAACAAAAATAACTTTAAACCGGAATCTTATTAACAGAGGTTTTAAAGCAAATGGTCCAAAAATAAAATTTGCGAGACAAAAATGACGGCCAATCTAAAAATAGGTGAGCTTTTGAACCAGGAGTCATAGGGGTTTTTCTATATTGATCTTGAACAAGAATAACTTAAAAGGGGAATCCTATTGACAGAGGTTTTAAAACAGGCCAATTGTTGACAGACAGACGGATGGGCGGACAGACAGACGGACAAGTGAGTGATTGCAATAGCTCACCATGTGAGCTAAAAAACAGACGGATGGACAGATGGCTTTTCTACATCCCCCGCAAACTTCATTCGGTGGGATAATCAAAGCTCCTATATTTAAAGTAATATAGCCTATTGAGCATAGTTCCTGTAAAATTGAAAATATTCTGTTCAGAGATCTTTCCAATAGTAAAACTTTATACTATTTTTCTGTCACATTTTAGGCTATTTCATCATGCTTTGGGTCATTCTGACCATGAACATTGTGATATCCTGGTCATGTAAATGATATGTAGAACTAGCAAATCTGAGTGAAGGTCAAAAAAGAATTCAGTTATCTTAGTAAAAAAAATCCAAAAACCCAGCATGTTTTTTCTGACTTCCTGTTTTGTCACTTCCTGTTAACTAACTTGACTTGATACCATAACCAATGACAATCAATTATAGTCATAATCATTATAATAATAGTTAGTTTTTATGGTTCATTTATTGAAATCATATATATATAATACATTAACAGGGCCTAGGCGAAAGCATTATTGGCCCTGTGAGAATACAACATACAAATTATTACAGATGGCTTTTTGTTGAAACAACTGATTAAATGTTATAAATTGATAATTCAAATAATTTCCATTATTTTACAGAGAAAGTTAGTAAAAATCTTAAATACACAACCTTTGATTTTGTTATTCACTAAATTATCTCCAAACAAAAGTGTATTGGTCTTTTGTTCTAAAGTGCATCCAATTAAAAAGAAATGGTTCAGTTCTGGCATCACCCTAAGCTCCCCCCAAAGTTCTTCTCTTTCTTTAACTAACAGCGGGCAATTGAAGATAAGGTGTTTTGAAGTTTGTTCTCTGTAGCCACATAAGCATTTTGGACTTTCTACATCTCTAAAATTATGTAAGAAAAAATGGCCAGAGAAAATAAAATCACATCTAATACGATTTAAGAATATTTCACTCTTTCGTGATAGTTCTAACTGAGATGTAGGTAATGGTAAATTTTTATCTTTAAGATGAGTTTTGACACTTCTCTTAAAACTAGCAAAACTTTTACTTCCTTTTTGATCAGTTGGGAGCTTTTCCCATAAACGTATTGCTCTAGTAACTGGGGATTTGGAAAAGGAGCCAATTGGCTTTGGGGCAGTAAAATGTCTAATCCTTCTAAGGTTCACATTTTGTACCGGATTTCTATGCTGGTCAAAAATTCTTTGAAGGTATGAGGGGACAGTCTTGTTTTTAACCTGGTACATTAACTTTAAATATTTTTCATCTGTTCTAGTAGACAGTTCATTCCAATTTAATGATTTAAATAATTTAGTTTATGAAGTTCCTTGGATACACCCACTTATTAGTAAGGCAGCTCTATAATGCACCTGATCAAGTTTAGCAAGGTCATATTTAGTCGCTTTTTCAAATAAAATACTTCCATATTCCATTTTGGGGAGTATAAATGACAGATACATTTTTTCTAAATGTTTTGATCTTATTTTGTTTTTTAGAGCTTTCAAAGGATTTAACATTGTGTTACATTTATCAATAGTTTCTAGTATATGAGGCCTAAAAGATAAGTGTTCATCTAATATTATTCCTAAGTGTTTGTGGTCACTTGATCTGTTAATTTTTTCATTGCTTAAAAAGACAGGCGGGTGTTGAAGGTATTTCCTTCTTGATCCCTTAAAAATAATTTCTACACTTTTTGAGGGTTTAAAAATTGACTTCCATTTAAGGGACCATTCTGAAAGTTTATCTATGTCAGATTGAAAATTTCTGTGGAGATCAAAAATATTTTTGTTTCATTGTTTCATTATAATAATCTAAACATTTGCATTGTGTGCTAGCTAAAAACTCACTTGAATCCCCTTTAGTTTACTCATAAACAGTCATTATTCACTCACAATATACTGAATCTCTGTGATTTTAAGAGCAAATGTTTTGAATCTATGAATTTTGAAATTTCTAGATAAGGAATGGTATGAGATAATAAATTTGATTAACTTTTTACATAAGTTGTTCCCTATATTTGATTCCTAAATCATTGGAGATATGTTCGATATTGTTTTCATGTTTATTAGATCATACTTTGAAATGTTGTGATTTGTTCTTAGATGTTTATTAATTTATTTATTAAAAATGCATTGCAGAATTCCTGTTGTGAAGTTCTATGGTATGGAAAAGGATGGCTGCTATGCTATACACATAGTTGATGGATGTGTCAAGAAGACATCAGCTTTCATACAGCAACAAATACCAGGGTACCAATTTCGCTTCGTTCCCTGGAGGAAGGATGAAAGTATCGAGTTACTCAGGGGATGTACAGGAGGACCTTTACACAGCAGGGAACGTCAACTTAGTGACGAAGGTATCGTTGACAATTTTGTGACATATCCACATGGTACTATTGGGGGGATGGCCTCACTCACTAACAAAACTGATAGCACTAAAGATGAAATGTATGTTCTCACTGCCAACCATGTGGTAGGAAAAGACCATCCTAATAAAGAATATATTTCTTGGTCAAATGAAAATCAAAGTGATAAACAAATAATAGGCACAACAGTTCCATATCGAATACCTTTGAAAATGATCAAAAACGAGGAGTTGAAGAAGGGACAACCTTCAAATGAATTAAGTGATAGCTGTGATGCTGAAAAGAAAGATAACAATTATGCCAGAGAAAAATTAATCATTGAAAATAAAAACAGTTACAGAGATAATCATACAAATCAGGATGAAAACAACATTGACATATTCTCTGATAATAATTGTCAAGCTATCAATCTTAGTAAGGAGAGTGGGAAAGAAGAACATTACCAACAGTTTGACATCGCTTGTATCAGGGTAGACAATCAAAATATTTATGCACAATATGAAGGTTGTTCTAAGTGCTGTACTGTAATGACTAATTCTGTCATTGGGAATGAGAACAAGATCCATTGTGAAGAAAAGAAATATACTGACCTGACTGCTGAAGAAGATGGGATGAAAATGATGGTAGACTCTATAGTGATAAAGTTAGGATCAGACAAAAGGGCCATGAAAGGGAGAGTTGTAAATGTTGGTGCAGCAGGTGAAATTAAACTTAACAAAAAGTCTGCATGGGTCAGAAACATGATTACCATATGCGCAGAAAGTTTAGATTCCGATACTGATTCTGACATTACATTTACACAAAAGGGAGACAGTGGCACTATAGTTTGTTTAAAACCTGGGGATAACTCCAGTGGAAACCATCAACCAGACTGTTGGATGATATTTGCTGGTTGGGATAGGAGAAATGAGTTCAATATGTGTAAACATTCTGTGTCTCTAGCATTCTCTGTGAGTGGTGCCCTAAACAATTTGAATAAACAAGCCAATGACAGCAATGACTCTTTTGATAGAACATTCAAATTGTCCTGCTGCAAGAGTGTCATTCAATCTTCAGCCTGTGTCTCACAAAGGGACAGCCACACATGGACTGAAAGCCAAGAATCAATTAGTATTTCGCAAAATGCCAGTGAAAGCCCAGAAACATCAATTAGAGTTTCACAAAGTGCCAGTGAATCAGAAAATAAAGGCACTGCCTTAGCAATCAGTGTGAAAGAATCAAACAATGAAGATTCAGAAAGTAGAGATAGTATATTCAGAAGAATGTGGAGAATGTTATGCTGCAAAAAAATGATTCAAATGCCAACCAATGCTCCACAAATAGATTTTGTTGAGACTTTTACCAAGTCTGGCCCTAGTAAGTTAGAAGAGAACAATAAGGACAATGGAGGACTTCAAAACTCATTGAGTGCCTCACAAAGACACAAAAGTGAGTCAGAAAACAAAAGAACTTCCTGTGTGACAGGAATAACAGACAGTAGTAGTAAGGCAGAAGATGAAGGTTCTCCACTTTCTCAGAATGACAAAAGTGAGTCAGAAAAAGAAAGTACGGAAGGAATAACAGACAGAAAAAACTTATCAAGTAGACCAGGTCTATATAATAGCTATTGGGCCAATTATTACTTCAAGCGATCTGATGTGTCTGACAGTTGTAGTGAATCAGAAGATGAAGTCACACCACTATTAAGCAGCAATGCACATTGATGACAATAAGTGATGGCAACACTAACAGAATTTATATCTGTATTTTATGTGCTTTGCTTCTTCATTATCTTTTGATGGATAGTGAGATTTAGATTATCTAAGAGTGAAAGGTGGAGTGAAAAATATGGCTTAATATCTTGGATAGTTTACTAAATCTGCTAAAATATGTCTTAAAATCCCCTTAGTCTACCTAAAGTAGTTAAAATCTTAATTATATAGCATAATATATACTGTATATAGACAATATACAGGGTGGGTCAATTTTTACTGTACCTTTTAACTCTCTTGATGCCATAATAATTTTCAAAACAGACGTCTCAGTGCCGCATTATTTTTAAATCGGACAGCTTTTTGATATATTTTGCACTTCCATTATGAAAACCTGGATATAAGACTTAATCCTGAACCAAATGCAATGAAACTTATCATGGGTCATGAAAATAACAAAGGCTTAAAGATACATGTATAACATTAAGTGATGGCTTTGTTGGTTGCCATAGTAACCATATTCACCTTGGAATATTTAATAACAAGAAAATATTCAAATATCTGAATTCAAAGACAATGGTTATGTATTAGCAATATCAGCACATCACATACATTACATGTCCTTTTTTCAGTTGTTGCATGTCAGAATTATTTCTTATTCAGAATAAAACATTCTAAATTAAATAAAGCATAGGGTTGTATCCAGATGTTTATATATAATGTCTTAATGTCATGATAAGATTTCAAATATAGACGTCTATTTGACACATTATCTTTTAAATATAACATTTTGCAAACATTTTGTGACTGTATTGTTGAAATACAAATATTTCATTCAGTTGATAATGAGTTGTTGTGAAACTTGCCATGGGTCATCATGATGACATTATCTTCAAAGTTCATAAAAACTGTTGTCCACTAACATATCTGTTACTATGGTAACCATATTAAATCTCAGGTACAAAACATCAGGTAAAAAAACCAAAAATACCGAATTTCAAAAAATCGCAATTACCCATTCTGCATTATTTAGCCTAGTCTATGCTAAATCAAGAATGATTAATGAATCAGCAATTAATCGTACTTACTCTTTTATGAGTTTGTATTTGTATTTTATTTTCAGAAAATATAAAACAATAATAAGGATGTGTACAGTAGTAAAATTATATAATTATGGACCACCCTGTAAATGAAACATGTTCACCTTTCTGTATTTTGATTACTGGAGTTCACCTCTGAATGATATCTTGGGAAGCATCTTCCAATACAAAGAACAATGCACCAGTTTAATTGTTGATTTGTAAAGATGCTATGTTGAGCATCAATATTATATGTTGCCATTCATGTTTGTGCAAATAGATAAGCACGAATGATGTTGTAATATTAACTACAGATCCAGAATGCCTTCCTTGTGCCAGATAATAGTGTTTTACATTGAACAATACAATGTAAAACATTTTACTGGCATAGCACAATTCTTTTCTCCAGACTGATTATAAGTAGGCCTACACTAAACTGCAACAATAATCATTTATTTTCACATTCACTTTAAACTTCAGGCTCATTAGGTTATGTACAGTACCAGGTATCTTGTCAATTAAATGATGTTCCTTCAATCTCCTTTCAAAGGCATTATGCCTTGGTTTCCAAATAAATTTCTTTGTTCTCGTGTCATCTGTAAATCAAGTTTCTTTCCATAATGGTAACTGAATCCAGGAATCTGTACCAGTCATCTTTGCTGTTGAGCTGAAAAACAACAAACGAATTGGAATGTAAATTATATGCACTTCATGCAATTACATGTATGACTATTTGTACTTGTTTTGCGATGATTTCATCAAACAACAGAACAACAGGGTGAGCCAAAAATACCACTTTTACAAAAAATGCTATAACTTTTTTATTACCTAACCTGCATACACACAGTTTTGCAATTATATAGAGCCAGTGGTCCTGATTAATAAAATAGGCTAATGTAATGAGTACATTTTTTATGATAGTTTTAGTTTTGGTCCCCATGCTGATATAGCATTTTCAATGAAACGTTGGCGAAGTTTCTTCCAACTTTTTATTGCCCATCTTCTATGATCATAGGGCTTAACATCACGACTAATGGCGGGATGGTCATCAGGCAGCATCAGTTAAAGGTACATTATGCAAATTATGTTAATTTCTCATGACATGTCACATGTAAAAGTGAGACGCGGGTGACATCTTTTATTTTAGTAAACATGTACTAGATTGCATTCTCAAGTTTCTTTGGGTATAAATATGATTTTGGATCAAATATTAAAAAAGATAACATTTTTTAAAAAGTGGCATTTTTGGCCACACTGTATGTATTAAACCCATGTATTATACCATACTGGAATTTAATGTGACTTTGATGACTGGTATGTTTATGTCTATACATGTTATGGTTGAAATTAGGTTGACATTCAAGGCACTGTGTGAAGTTTGAACCACATTGGCTTATATTTCGTTGTATGAGAATAATGTCCCAAGTGCCATTTTTGAAAAAATAAGATTTTTTTTGAAAAAATAACGATTAGAGAAATTTGTGTCCATTGAAAATACATAGCAAAATGGACATCGCTCAGCTTTAATCTTTCGATGTTAGTGTTACGAAAAACACAGAATTGAATTGTCCTATCTCCATTTTTAATATGCTCAAAATTGGCTTAGAAAATCTTAAAATTCATGAATATACACACATTTTTGATACAAAAAAATATAAAAATTTAACAAATGACATATAGATAGTATTGAAGTAACAGATGACTAAACTTTCAAAAATTGATTTCTCCGTTTCACAAAAATGTGAGTTGGGACATTTTTATTCTCATAGGGCGATTTGTGAAAGTATTATTTCCCATTGTTATTATCAAAATGTGATGCAATTGACACTTTTTATCTTAATCTAATGTTTTAATAAAAAGTCAACTTTTTCAAAATATGACAAATAGAATTTGGATGATTAAAGATGGGGCCATTTAAAATAAAATATTACTAGGGCTTTTACATAAATAGCATACCTGCAGTCATAAATTGTGGTCATATAATCTGCTAGAATGGACTCCTACTTTGTCCTTTTGATATTTGTGTGTACCATTTCAGGTTGATTTTTGTACTGCACTGCTCCCATGACAGTTGTAACTAAGCTATGTATCTCTGGAAAACAAAATTGAAACATTAATAAATATACCTTGCAAGTATAGTTAGCTATGAGTATGAGGCAGGAGAGGCAACTATTTTTTCAAGGTTTTTGCATAAAATTGTAAAAATTATGTCACAAATAAATACAAAGTTTGCTCTTTGGCTTAAATTTTAACTTGCTGTGGTTTCTTTTGGATCCTATTTTCACTAACTTAAATAGTAAAATGAACTGCTCTCATTCATGTCATTATTGGTGTCACTGTGAACAATAAACGTATTGAAATGGATGTCCAGTGAATTTCTGTTTTCTGAATGAGCTCACTTTATCCTTTAATCTGAACTCCATTTCTTGAACACTTAATAAAAATAGCTCAAGTTATTTGTTAGAAATTGACAAAACAAAACCTCACCCTTTTCAACAAGAACAGATTTCTGCTTCTTTGAGGGAACTAAAAATGAATACAGTGAAACCCGTATATCCAAACACCTGGCTAATCCGAACACTTTTTCAAGTCCAAATCTATCCTCTCATTGATTCCTGTTAAGAAAACTTTGAAATCTGAACACCTCTAATCCGAACAATGAACACTCATATTTGAAAAATAACCTGTCTAAACGAACACTTTTCACAAAATATCACATATTTCTTACAAAACTGCTCACGTGTTTTCAATTTAACACTGATATCTTATGCTATCAAAACTTTTGAAAAAATAACAAATGATCTCAATCCTAATTGGTTTCTCTGGCATGACTTTGGAACAAAGCTATGTTGTCAATAAAAGTATTAATATTAATTCAGAATGATTTTATGCATTTATATTTCTTCAAAAGCAAGAATCTTGCAGATGCAACCACCTCAAAATCTCAAAGCTTTTAGCCAGCCCTACTGGCATTCGGATTAGACAGGTTTTACTGTATATACTTTACTATCTGAAATGATTTAGGAAATTGATATTCCGACCAAACTTTATCTCGTGCATTGGACATTTATTTTTTTGTCAAATAAAATGATGGCTATGTTTATAATAATTGTTATTATACTGTTTTCGCTGCTTCATACTTTGCACAGTATCTGCATGGAAAAAATACATGTACTATAGACCAATGTAATCTAGCATGATATACTGTATTCTCTGTAAATTTTCTGTTCTTTTATATTTTTCACTTTTCATGATTTTTTGAAGATTCACAAAATGTAATACTATATTCTATTAAAGGAACACATAGTACCAATAAAGTACCTGCAACTTTTATGATCTCAAGAAACACAAAGTTTAATGCATTATGGTTTTGATTATTATTGAATGATATATGATTAATCTAATTCAGAGAAAGATATATGGGAGCTGTACAGTATGTAAACCTCAGCTCAGTGATAACATCTTGTAAAAAGATTATTGGTGATATTTTTTCTACCTACCCCTTCGACTGATTCAATTTCAATTGATTCATCTTGGGAAGTACAGTATGCTCTCATTGGAGAGAATACAGTAGCCGCGAAATCCTAATAGTTCAAATTCGCACAATATAAATCGTGCATGGTGAAAAAAGGTAGAATGGTACTGTTTTCTTAATTTTTAGTTGGGTACTAAAAGATTTTAATCAAAGAAATTAAAAAAACTGGAAAAATTTGTTCCCAAATCTACAAAAAGTAAAAGCCATGAAATCCAGAAAACTGAAAGTTAGTGAAAATAGACACAAAATTTCAAAACTGCGAAAAAATATATTCTTCTTAATTTCATTATTTGGGAAGTTAAAACAAGTCATACATATGTACCTCCTTTATCTATTTCTGGTCATTACTTTCCAATGTTCATGGTATCTATGGACTAGCATCCAGTATGTCTCTGATGACACCAGATATACAGCAGGAGTCCAACCTAAGCTTTCTCGGGTGTGTTAGCATCGGTCCACTCATCCTTCCCCTACTTTCGTTGTTGACAAACCAACATTTTGCTACTTTGCCGCAGCATACGTATTTTCCTAGAATGCCTAGAAAAGAATCAAATGCATTCAATAATAAATGAATGAGTACAGAATATCTCACCGTGGTGATCAAAAGAATTTCTATCTGATATTCCGCCACCATTGGTATTACAGTGCTCTGT